AGCCCATATTTGGTACACATTAAAATTTTCATTTTCATTCTTTTACTTATTTTCAACCACACATTCTTCAATAAAATAATATTTTTCATCACATCAATAATTTTTCCTTCTTTTTCAAACACACATTCTCCATCAATCTACTATTTCAAAATACATTCTTCCAAAATAATGTGGCTCAAACACCATCAAGTTAGGTGTAATTTTTAGGCCTCCATCTAGAATTATTGGGGTTTTCCAACCCTGTTTTATTTTGTTTTAGGCCCACTGTGGTTTTGTTGGTGTATTGATGGAAAACTCTAAAATGGTGATTGTTTTCCATTTCATATTAGAAAGAGTTTTTCCCAATTTCTACTTACATACATATTCAAACCCTTGAAATGATCTTCAACTTTTGAAAGATAACACAAGTGTTTTAAGTGTTTTTTTCTCCTTCACAGCTTGTTCAATCCTACAAATCGTTTTCCTTGAGTCCATTTAAGCATCAAAATCATTACTAGAAGGTTAATTATTGTTTGAGAACAATGATTACGAGTACAAATTTCTTTTCGATATTTTTCGGTGTTCTTGCTGCTACTTTATTTGTTCTCTTTTCCCATTCAACAGATGGGATGGTCAAAATATGATAATTTGGTGAAGTATAGAAATTAAATTTGAAAATTAAAATCAAGATTAAACTGAAAGCTAAAAAAATGGAAAATTCAATCAATTTAATTTTGAAAGTTTAAAAACAAATATCTGTTTTTATCGAAAAAAAAAAAAAAGAAAGAGCAGACATGCACGTGCTTTTCCATCAAACGTTTGTATCGTGAATTCTACCTTCTAGGATTAAAATCAAAATTTTAATTTAAATCGAAGTCAATAATTAATGTTAATTATAAATTTCATCAATTTTTATAAAAAAAATTACTAAAAATTTAACCCATGTTTGACAATCATTAAAATAGTTTTTTTTTCAAACTCATTTTCAACCACACATTCTCACAATAAAATATTCTACACTTAAATAAAAATTTTTTCCAAAATTCTAACCACACTTTCTCACAAAAAAATATTTTACACGTAAATCCAAAACTTTTTCCTACATTTTAACCACACATTTTTCCAAAAACAAAAAAATCGCTATTCGAAAACTCATTTTCCCTCAAAAAAACTCTCAAGGTCTGTTTGATTGCGAGAATGAAATTGAGTGGAAAGAAAATGAATTACAGGAAATTGAATTGCCTAGAATTGTTTTCCTGGGAATTGTCAATTAATTGTGTTTGATTGGTATAATTTTTGACCTGAAAAATGTTGAAATTTTGGATCTTTTAGTGTTCGTTTGACTTTGGTTTTCATGGAAATTGTCCACTAAAGGGAATTTTTTTTTTTTTTTACAATTGTCCATAGAATTTGTTTTCATTGCCTAAAATAAATAAATAAAAAAAAGTTGAAAAATATTTTCCCCCCAAAGTGGTGGGAAAACAAATTCAAGAAAACCATGGAAAAATGGCANTTTTTGTATTTATTTTTCTTTGTTTTTCATAAAAATTGTCCATTAAAGGAATTTTTTTTTTTTTTTTTTTTTTTTACAATTGTCCATAGAATTTGTTTAAAAAAAAAAAAACCTGAAAAACCAAATCCCACCAAATTGGTGGGAATTCATTTTCATCAAAAACAAGGAATTGCATGCATGTGAGCCAAAACCAAGAAAATAAATTGCCAAGAAAAAGAGTGTACCAAACATGCCTAAAGTGGAATATGGAATTTACTTTCCATTTTCCATGGAAAATTTGGGTGGATCAAACAGGGTCTTATCGTCAAACAGGGACTTAATTTTAATCTCCACCAAACGGACCCTAATATTCTATATAAAACTAACAACCCATAAACTAGACTATACAACAAGCTTTAGCCAAGAAAATGGCGCTGCTAGCACTACCGTCGCTCCCATTTTCAGGCCGCCTTCACCTCCCAAAACCTGAACCAGCAAAAACTCTTTTTCCCACTATTACACATAAGCATCATGAATCCGTAATTTATGGTAGAAATATTAGGTTACCACATAATTCACTAAATTATAGAAAAGTTGGGAAAGACACAACGAAAATGGCAGTAATGAACGGATTACCAGAGAGTGAAACATATCGAAACTTTGGAAAGATTTTTCTTTCTGATGTGGTGGTGAAGAGAAGGAATGTGTTATGGGGCAGAAAGTGGAATTTTTGGGATGTGTTCCCCCTAGGTTGGGTGGTTTCTGCACATTTGCTGTGCCTTTGAGCTCCCTTTACATTCAACTGGGGTGCTTTCTGGGTGGCATTTTCATTATATATAGTCACTGGCCTTTTCGGTATCTCTCTTTCTTATCACAGGCATCTTTCTCACAGGAGTTTCAAGATTCCTAAATGGCTTGAGTATTTTTTCGCATATTGTGGTGTTCTTGCCGCTCAGGTTAGTTGATCCTCGGCTAAAAAGTCCATTAAGGCATTGATTTTGTCGTTCAAATTAGAGGAATGAGCATTTCTGGCAATTTGGATAACAAAACTAATGCATCCACAGACTTTTAAGCCACAATATCATTTTTGTCATGCAAAATTACAGATAATTTTTTTTCCTTTTTTTCATTCAATCAGCAACTTTATTACGTTAACCAGACGGTGAAGGTGAAGTATCTAAACTAAAAGAGTAATGTTATTCATTCCCACTGGAGCTGAACCACAGTTTATGTGACAATTACATGGCGTTAAATGATAGATTCATTTAAATACAAAGTCACATGACTCATTTAATTGAGTTTGTTATTTAATATTATGTAATTGTCATATAGATTTGGACTCAACTCANCCCATTTGACACACATTCTATAAAGAGTAATGTTATTCATCCTCATGGGGGTTGAGCCACAATCTATGTGACAATTACATGACATTAAATGATATATTCATTTAAATACAAAGTCACATGACTCATTTAATTGAATCTATCATTTAATGTCATGTAATTGTCACATAGAATGTGGCTCAACCCCAGGATGAATAGCATTATTCAAACTAAAATAGGCCTCTGTTTTGTTGAGATTAAAATCAGATTTTGATAAAATTGATGAAATATGTGATTGAAATGTGGTGAATCCCACAAATACGTGGTTAAAATTAATGAATAATTTGAAAGGGAAAAAAAAAAAACTGTTTTTTGAAGAGTCATTCGGTGGGTAACATTATTTAACACGTAGATTTTCATGTTTTGATCATTAAGATTATCATTACACAATGTGTACCTGTTCGGTGTAGCTAAAAAGTTTATAAAAATCTAAACTAAAGTCAATAATCAATTTTAATTATAGATTTTACACGTCCTCAATTTTTATTAACTTTCCGATTACACATTTCATCAATTTTTAACAAAATTTAATTAATATGATTTTTAGCTACAGGGACTATATTCCTATGTGAAAATTTTAATCTTGACTTTTTTTTAGAGGGATCCAATTTTTTGGGTGAGCGCGCATCGGTTCCATCATCAGTTTTGTGATTCTGAGAAAGACCCGCATAGCCCTATTGGAGGATTTTGGTTTAGTCACATGAATTGGGTCTTCGACACCAAATCTATTGTTGAAAAGGTAATCTTTACAATTATTTTATGATTTGATGTGATTTTACCATAACGGTTTAGAAGAACGAGAGATCAAAAATAAGATACTTTTGGCAAAATAGTCCCTGTTTGAATCACATTAAAATTTTCATTTTCATTCTTCTACTCATCTTCAACCACACATTCTTCAATAAAATAATATTTTTCACCACATCAATAATTTTTCCTTCTTTTTCAACCACACATTCTCCATCAATCTACTATTTCAAAATACATTCTTCGAAAATAATGTGGCTCAAATATAGTGAAATTGAAATAAATCAAATTTTTTCTTCTTTTTTTTTTTTCTTGAAATTGCTACTTTTACAATAAAATGTCGACGAAAAAGGTCTAGTTTCATTTGGTGCAACCATTGGAGAAATAATATAATTTGTAATTAAGTAATTTTTGCAATAAATTCATTGTTAAGAAATATATAATAAGGAAATAAAGAAAATACTATTTATTTGGTGCAACCATTGGAGATGTCACCTCAAATTGGTGTGAAAATTGCACCAATTTAGCCCCTGTTTGGGTTCTATTTTTCTAAAACTTATTTGCAATCACATATTCTCCCATAAAATAATATTACATATAAATCAAAATTTTTCCTTATTTTTTAATCACACATTCTCCAAAAAGTCACTATTTTAGAACACATTTTACCCCCCAAAATATCATTTTAATGGAGTCCAAACATGAGCTTCGGGTAAAAGTAACACCAAATTGGTTCAAACAATTGTACATGCCGTTAACTCGCCTTAATAATGTCCACCCTGATATTATCCATCTGAATTTTATTCACATCCTAGGTAGCTAGCTAGATTGCTTCAAAAATTACAAAGATTATTTGTAATAAATTTCATATTTCTAGTCTAGATTCCTATGTTGTTTAACGTTTTAAGAGCCCGAACAAAGATATATATTGATAAAACTTGATATATTATGTGGTCAAAAGTTGATAAAAGTTATGAATCCATGAAATATGTGGTTAAAATTGAAGTTTGATCAGTTAAAAAAGAAATAAGTTAAGGAAAAGAGGAGAATGATTGTTAATTAATGAACAAAGTTTTCTTTTCCCCATCTTCCCAAGTGGGTTCATGTGTAAATCTATTTGTGTACTATGCATGACTACAAACATTGTCACATCTATGATAATTCAATTCAGTGTATCTAGGATTCGATTTTTATTTTTGCTTCTGCTTCTTGTAGAAAAGTTTTGTGGGGAAGTCATTTTCAATCTCCATACAATGTATGTACCAAACACATCTTTAAAGGAGCGCATTCAATCTAAACATTTTAAAAACTTATAAAGATTTGTATATTCTGATAGACAAAGAAATATGTGACCTCGTGTTCTCCTCTAATTAAACCAATTCTATATATCCTTGGTTATTTGAAGATTGTGTAACTATTCTAATATCAATGTTTTTTTTTTTTTTGTATAATCTTCTATATTCGTAATTGAAATAATCCAACAAATAGGACAATTTTTGTTATAATAAACACATTGAAACTAAACAATTTTCTCTTCATTGTTTTCAAATCAATTTAAATCAAGAAATATATGTAATCGACTTTAAATTTATTTAGAAATAAAATTTAATTTGTTGTGGTGGCTGCTTTCTTATAATAATAGTTACCGTTTGGGATTTGCAGTGTGGAGATCCCAACAATGTTGGAGATCTAGAAAAGCAGCCCTTCTATAAATTTCTTCAAAGAACTGTTATAATCCATCAAGTTGCACTTGGAGCACTATTATATGCATTGGGAGGACTTCCATACTTGGTTTGGGGAATGGTAAGTGCAAATATTATTCTTTGTGGCCTTAAGTATTTAAGGGTGTGATACACACATAAAATAAATTAAAAAATTGATATTTTTTATATATTCTATGTCATATATCTCGTACACAATCCGTACAAATATATTTTGATATATTATGAGCATGTCTGGGCCAACTTTTCAGCAGATTTTAAGCTAAAAATGGACCCTTTTTTCCACATAAGGGTCCCACATGTGAGACAAAGAGAACAATGGCTGCTATATTTCATTTCCAACGGTTGAAAAAGCAATTTTTTGTCAAAATTGTGATGACAATAAGGCTATGTTTGATAGCCATGACTTTCTACAGGGCAAATGGAAAATGGATATTTTGATATATTATACATGGTTTGATAGTCATTTTTTCCATAGAAATTTTTTTCTTACTTTACTTCACATGTGCACATTTTCATGAAAATTGTGAAATTAGTTTTCCCACCATTTTGATGGGAAAATGGAATTCCAC